GCCCACACCGATGTTTCCCACATGGGGATACCGGGGCCGGTGTCCCGGGGACCCTCTGCCTGGGGGGGGACGGGGGGGATCAAAGGGGGGCGATATCCCCAGCATGGCAGAGGGACAGGAGCCCCAGGGAGCTCAGCCACCCCTTGTCCCCTGCCCTCGGGGGTGGCTGGAGGTGTCACCTCCACCCTGTGCCATCCCTGGTGCCAGGTGCTTTCGTAAGCGTGGAAAATAAAAAAAAAATAATAAAAAAAAAAGCAGCAAACTGGGAAAGCCCCCCCACGCCCGGCCAAGAAGTGGGGTGTCACCCCATGGGCATGGTCACCCCCTGGAGAAGGGCAGCCAGGCAAAGGGCAGCATCCCCCTGGGAACTGCAGGACCCCAAACCTGCCCCAGTTGTGCCAGGACTGCTGGAAACTGGGGACCAGGAGCACCCCCGGCGGCTGGTGGGGTTTGGGGAGGGGAAGAGCAGGAGGAGGAGTGCAGCCGGAGCAGCCTTCATCCCTGTCCTGGGGGCTCTGGCCCCACATCCCTCGTTAGCGCAGCCCCGGAGGAGTTAATGAGGGAGCCCGTCGCAGGCACGACGTCTCTCCCCCCTCCCCGGAGCTGTGATGTCCAGCCCGGGCAGTGCCACAGCGGGACCCCGGGTGGTGGCTCCGCCGGCCGCCCCCCGCTCCGGTTTAATGGTTAACGCGGCCGAAGCGCTGAGCTGGCGGCTCCAGCAGCTTCGCTCTTGTGCAACTCCCACGAGCCTCGCACGCCCGTTGCACAAGGGGTGCCGGTGCTGCCAGCCTGACCCCCCCTTCCCGGGCAGGGTGGCTCTGTGGGGTGGCATCCCGGTGCCAGCATCCCTGGGAGATGCCCTTGTGGTACCCAGGGCTGGGGTCGGTGCCAGCTCAGGGCTGTGATGCCCCTCTCCAGGTTGGCGTTGCAGAGGGAGCCGTGGCCTTGCCCACGCTGCCCGTCTCTCCCGAGCTGCCTGTTGTGGGGTACAGAGCTGTGGGGGGGGTACAGGGCCACGTTGGGGGGTGAAGCTGCCTGGGGTACGGGGCTCTATGGGGTGTGGAGCCACGTGGGGTGCGGAGCTGGTTTGGGGGCAGAGCCACAGGTTGCGTGCAGCCCTACGGTGCACAGAGATGTATGGGGCAAAGATATATGGGGCAGAGACATGTGGGGTGTGGAGCCACAGGGGGTGCAGATCCCTATAGCGTGCAGCAGCGTGCAACACACCGTGCAGCAGCGTGCAACACCCTACAGAGTGCAGCACCGTGCAGCACCGTGCACCGGGCTCCTGCTCACTCCCCCTTGTGGGACCGGTACC